GAGGATTTTCCTATAAAGCTTAGTGCTTACCCCCTCCAAACAATACTTATTTTCAGATTTCGGTATAGAGGAAGAGCCCCGAGTTGACAAGCAGGTGATTTGGGAAGCTCAAGTTGATGGACATGTGGATCCGTGGAAGGGATGTTTAGAATTGTTCTTTATATGTTCTGGATTAGGAGATTTATTTTGAAATGATGTTCATGTTCATATTTTCCTTATTCCGATGCGAAATAACAGTTTGGCTTATTCTTTTGGGCAAAATTGCCATAGTTTGAGCATATTCTTTTAGATGTAATGACTATGGTTTGACATATTCTTTTGGTTGATGTTGTAAATATTATGGATGATAAATAAATTTTTTTATTTATTTATGAATTTTATTAGCTGCTCTCATGATGTGAATGATTTGAGTTAGTAATGTCGTCAAAGGTGAATTTTGGGGTGTTACAAGTTTGCTTATAATCAAAATTATCATAGTAGTATTGGGATTATATTGTATAAGGCACTTTGTGGTAAGAAGTGAAGGACACTGGTGTGTTGCAGTAATATGAGAGAAACATAAATATGCGATCCTAAGTTGAGATGTATAACTAGAATAAAAAATAAAGTGATTCAAGTAAGATTAAAGGTTGTATAANCTGTTTTGTTTATTTTATATTTTCTTTCAATTTATAGTCTTTTGGATGGAGTTTTCATCAAAAAAAGAAGTAGAATTTCATGTTTAGTTGATAGAATTGTTTAAAACTACAAGCTGAAATTGTAGATTAGTTATTGAAAGAGTTTAATTAATTTTGATTTTTATATTGATGCCCAAACCTATTTGAATGATTGAAAAATTATGGGAGATTGTTAAAAGGGTTTTAAATGACTTTGGAGTTGATTGAAGTGGGTTTTGGTTCATGAGTAGAAGAATAGAGTTGGTGATAATAATCCTANTAAGTTGAGATGTATAACTAGAATAAAAAATAAAGTGATTCAAGTAAGATTAAAGGTTGTATAAAATAGATAGAAAATGTATGTTATCAATTACCAAATAAAACAATAAAAACTTGTGATGGATGATAATTGTATTTATATGAGACATTTTAAGATTTGCAATGAGGGATCAAGAATTTATGAGAATATGACATGAAAATTACATGTTAATATATAATGAGGAAGAAAACCTTAGTCTAAGATATATTTAGTCATAAGAGATTATTGAGAAAAATGAGGCTACATACTCAAGGTTGGTTCTATTAACATAATTGTTTCTTTTTCACGACATATTTTATGTTTCTATGCTCAGGAAGTATATATATACATTTGATNCCTCTAGAAAATTTGGATTTGTGCACCGTTTTTTTTGTTAGAACATAGACTTATAGATATTTCTAAACCTATATGATATAGAACCTAATTCTATTTGTGTGAAAGCTGACATCTGTTTGAAATTGACTGAAATACTACGACTAATGGAAAAAAATCATATTAATATTTTTATAAACAAGGGAACATAACTTTTCACATAGAACCTTAATTTTAGCTCTTGACCTATATTTAGAATGCTTAGGAAGCCTAATTTAAGATTAATTTGGATTCTTGTTATTTTAGCATAGATATAAGCTTGTTTTAATTAAAATCGCCCGATGGATTCTCGTGTTATTGTAATGCANCTATGTAATACCTTTATTTTATAGATTATCTCAGCTCTATGGATGACCTTTGTTTTAGTTAGCAATCTATGCTATCTAGATAATTTATGATTATAGACTATGTTCTGAATTAGACTAATATAATGGAAGTGTAGCAGCTATGTTAATTTTTATTCTGGGTTATATAATGTTTGGGTGTTGAAAAGGAAAAATTGGTAGACAGAGGATTAGATTGATGTTGGGATAACTCTTGGTCTTGGCATTTAAAAGTCTACATGGAAGTTACCATAGCATCATTGGAGAGTGTTGATTAATTTCGAGGACGAAATTCTTTAAGGGGGAAAGAGTTGTAAGACCCGAATTTATATTTATTAGGAAATTGGGAATTAAAAGGAAGTATAGTATANAACCTTATTTATTGGGTTGGATAGAAACAAAATAAAGAAAATTTTGAATATGAGAAATAGTGGACAACTTTGACACCCTTTGGTAAAATGAGTATAACTTTTTATAGAAAACTCGAATTGACGCACCGCCAATTTTGTTAGAAACAAGATTTAGAGACCTTTCCAATGGTATATGGTAAATGTTACACCTCATCCCGAGAGACCTATTTGGTACCCCAAATATGAAAGTATAACTGAACACATGACAATATTTGTGCTTGTAGTTTGGGAATGCATTTAAACCAATAACACCAACCAATAATCTCATGAAAAAGATAAATTGTACAACTCTGGTAGAGTGCACAACTGTGCAACTTAAATCAAAACAATATATTAGGGAATTCATTCCTTACATCAATAAGAAAACAAACATTCTTGTACCAAATATACACAACTAATTTCTTTAACCTTCCATCTCGACTCCCCTAGTGTTATAGTGGACCAAACTCTAAACTTTAGATTCTTGAAAATAAATATTTTCTTGAGTTTTCTGCGCATCATAATAAATAAAAATACAATTTGAGGAGAACGACAAAGTCAAAGTGTTTTCAACTCATTTTGAAGTCTCATAATTACTGTCAAAATAACAACACAATAAATATTCCACATGTGCTATAAGTCAACAACAACGTTTAAGCAATGTAGAATATCAACAACATTTAAGTAATGTTAGACTATCTATAACATTTAAGAAATATCAAATTGTCTCACGACAACTGCGTAATGTTCAAATCAACAACATGTAAGTCATGTCAAGCTATCAACAACTCGACATAGTGGATAATACTCAAATCACAAGCTTTTCATAAAAACATATTTAATCCATAATTTTAGCGACCCAACTCAAATCAATTCGAAAAAAAATTAATTTCTCACATATAAAAAAGTAAACTTGATATGTCATAAATTTTTATCTTCAATTATTATGAAATAATACACTTCACATGTCACCACCAACCAACATTCCACTCAGCTTTATGCTCAATCCCTAAGTGGAATCGGTATAGTATTTCATGAACCTAACGCAAATCATATAACCATACACAATGAGTTTTAACTCAAAATATCTCAACGGATGCAAATGTATGCATATGAACATATTTTATTTTAAGTTTTATTCATTCTGATTCAACTCGACTTAGATCAAGACAACTCCAATCTCATGGATTATTTTTATAATAACTCAACATGAAACCAAATGAGTTAGAAAGTAAGCTTCTTAAGGTTTCTAACAATAGGTCATAAGCTCAAAACAACCTCCCATAGACCATGTTCTGATTATTTTCCAACAAGTTTTCAAATTTAATAAGTAAACTATTTTTAGCTATTTTTAAACTAAAAAAATTGAATTTATACATAAACAATATGATGTTTTACCATATACCATTGGAAAGGTCTCTAAATCTAGTTTTCAACAAAATGGACGGTGCGNTAGAGAGGAAGATCGGAGAAGGAAGGAAGAAAGGAAAAAAGGAAACCGTGACTTTGAGTGAAGATCCAACGGTAAGATTAACTCCGATTCTTACCAAATTTGAGTATGTTGTTCATCGTAGTTTGAATTTCATATCTATCGGTTTAGTTTCTACAAATGAAGCTGTTTTGTTTATTTTATATTTTCTTTCAATTTATAGTCTTTTGGATGGAGTTTTCATCAAAAAAAGAAGTAGAATTTCATGTTTAGTTGATAGAATTGTTTAAAACTACAAGCTGAAATTGTAGATTAGTTATTGAAAGAGTTTAATTAATTTTGATTTTTATATTGATGCCCAAACCTATTTGAATGATTGAAAAATTATGGGAGATTGTTAAAAGGGTTTTAAATGACTTTGGAGTTGATTGAAGTGGGTTTTGGTTCATGAGTAGAAGAATAGAGTTGGTGATAATAATCCTAGTTTTGACACACAACTTGGATAGTTAGTGGGAAAAAGGGCGATAACTCCCTCTAGAAAATTTGGATTTGTGCACCGTTTTTTTTGTTAGAACATAGACTTATAGATATTTCTAAACCTATATGATATAGAACCTAATTCTATTTGTGTGAAAGCTGACANAGTTATAAAAATACTAGTCTGATTTTTTCCAATGGTCTCTGTATTTCAGTCAATTTCAAACAGATGTCAGTTTTCACACAAATAGAATTAGGTTCTATATCATATATGGTTAGAAAGATTTACAAGTCTGAGTTCTAACAAAAAAAACGGTGCACAAATCCATTTTTTCTAAAGAGAGTTACCGCTATTTTTCCACCTACTATTCAAGCTGTCTGTCAAAACCGGGATTATTATCCCCTTCTCTATTCTTCTACCCATGAGCCAAAACCCACTTCAATCTACTCCAAAATCATTTAAAACCCTTCTAAAAATCTCCCATAATTTTTTAATCATCCAAAATAGGTTTGGACTTCAATTGAAAAAAAAATTAATTAAACTCTTTCAACAACTACACTATAATTCCAGCTTGTAGTTTTAAACCATTCTATCAACTAAGCATGAAAAATTCTACTTCTTTCCTTGATGAAAACTCTACCCAAAAGATTATAAACTAAAATATAAAATAAAAAAAAAAACTTCATTTGTAGAAACTAAATTGATATATATGAAATTCAAACTACGATGAACAACATACTCAAATTTGGTAAGAATCGAAGTTAATCTCATCGTTGAATCTTCACCCGAAGTCGCGGTTTCCTTTTTCCCTTTCTTTCTTCCTTCCTTCTCTGATATTCCTCTCTATTTGTTTGCTTTTTCGTTTGTTCCTTCACCATCTGACACACTCCCTTATCTCCTTCTTATTATTGAGTAAAACTATACTTCATTCCCCCTTTATTCCAATGAAATAAATTGTAACCCCATTCTTTATAAGATATTTCCTTTTAATTCCCAATTTCCTTATGAATATAAATCCGGGTCTTACAGTAACCATGAAAGTGACCACCACAGTACTTTTAGTTGGCGTTGTTTGTGGCCGTTGTATTGACCATGGCTGAGCTGGTGGACATGATAGAAATGGAACGTATTGCTCAAAATTTGGGTAAAGGGAAAGAAGAACAAGAAGATGAGAGTGATGATCGTTTTGAAGATGAGTTAGAAGGCTCAAAAAGTGTTGCAAATGACCAGCTGATCGATCAAAAGTTGGTTAAGGGAGTAGAAGATGAAGAGGATGAGGGTGATGGTTGTTTTGGGGATGAATTAGAAGTCTCAGAAGTTCTTACAAATGACCAAATGATCGATCAATGTTTGTTAAGGGAGTGAAAGAGGAGTATGATGATGGCTATGTTTAGACTTGGAAAGGAACTACAAGGCTGTGAAATGATTGCAATTGATCGACTGATAGAGTAAAAATAATTGTATAAATCATCCAATATTATTTTGGGTGATTTCGAGTCGTCATGCTATGAATATTCTTTTGCGGGAGTTCAAACGGTAGTATTCTCCGACATAAATGCAACATTGGTTATTGATATTCTTTGTTTTCAAGGTAGATTACATTTTGCATACTTAAAATTGTGAGCTGTCAATAATTTCAATGAAACAAGCAACAAAGTACATTTTACTTGCCGAAAAAAAAAAATAGTACTTTTGGCCTAATAAATATGTTATTCTTTGTTTNTGGATAATACTCAAATCACAAGTTTTTCATAAAAACATATTTAATCCATAATTTCAGCGACCCAACTCAAATCAATTCGAAAAAAATTAATTTCTCACATATAAAAGAGTAAACTTGATATGTCATACTTTTATCTTCAATTATTATGAAATAGTACACTTCACATGTCACCACCAACCAACATTCCACTCAGCTTTATGCTCAATCCCTAAGTGGAATCGGTATAGTATTTTATGGACCTAACGCAAATCATACACAATAAGTTTTAACTCAAAATATCTCAACGGATGCAAATGTATGCATATGAACATATTTTATTTTAAGTTTTATTCATTCTGATTCAACTCGACTTAGATCAAGACAACTCCAATCTCATGGATTATTTTTATAATAACTCAACATGAAACCAAATGAGTTAGAAAGTAAGCTTCTTAAGGTTTCTAACAATAGGTCATAAGCTCAAAACAACCTCCCATAGACCATGTTCTGATTATTTTCCAACAAGTTTTCAAATTTAATAAGTAAACTATTTTTAGCTATTTTTAAACTAAAAAAATTGAATTTATACATAAACAATATGATGTTTTACCATATACCATTGGAAAGGTCTCTAAATCTAGTTTTCAACAAAATGGACGGTGCGTCAATTTGAGTTTTCTATAAATATTTATGCTCATTTTACCGAAGGGTGTCAAAGTTGTCCAATATCCCTCATATTCAAATTTGTCAATATTTTATTTTTTTGATCCAACCAAATCCAATTTATTTCATACCACATTCAACTCAAATAAGGTTGGGTCACGTAACCCTCATTTTTGCTTATTCGCTTCACTCAAATATTTCTTTGAACACTTTACATGCATTAAAATAATACGAGGACCCACCAGACGAGTTTAATTAAAACAAGTTTCTATCTTTACTAAGATAAAAAGAACCCAAATTAATCAAAAAGTAGACTTCCTAAGCATTCTAAATATAGGTCATGTGCTAAAATTGAGGTTTTAGGTGAAANATGATGATGGCTATGTTTAGACTTGGAAAGGAACTACAAGGCTGTGAAATGATTGCAATTGATCGACTGATAGAGTAAAAATAATTGTATAAATCATCCAATATTATTTTGGGTGATTTCGAGTCGTCATGCTATGAATATTCTTTTGCGGGAGTTCAAACGGTAGTATTCTCCGACATAAATGCAACATTGGTTATTGATATTCTTTGTTTTCAAGGTAGATTACATTTTGCATACTTAAAATTGTGAGCTGTCAATAATTTCAATGAAACAAGCAACAAAGTACATTTTACTTGCCGAAAAAAAAAAATAGTACTTTTGGCCTAATAAATATGTTATTCTTTGTTTTCAAGCCTCATTTCACTTTGGCCTTAAAGATCAATGTGCAACCTAAGCGTTTTTGGAGCCATCTAGTACTAGATAGTGCTTAGTCAAGCACACCCCCACCTTGGCTTCAGCATGGGAAACCATTGACTATGTCACCCACATGCCTTAGCTATTTCAACTTGTTAAGGAGCTAACTATCTTCTCTATTATTGAATTTTTTCGATAACAAACTTATAACTAAGATAGTAAAAATGTCCATCAATCCAAGTTTTCAAGCTCCAACTCTCAATCAAACATCTATTATGTTCAGATGAAAAATGTCCATGTTTCATTAAATTTTAGGCCGAAGTGAAGCAAAATAACAAATTTTGTGGTAAAGTGATACAGAGTCCCATACAATTATTTCAATCATCTATAGTTAAGATAAAGAAAAATCAACAACCATAGTTAAAAATGAAATGTGAAAAAAAAATGGCAGTTGACTAGAGTCATACTATAGAACAAAGTAAAATTTCCCCCATTTTTATAAGGCTTTTGGGCCCAGGGAAAAAACAGCTAGAAGTGTTCCAATCTTTTACCTATTTTTTTTTTTCAAAAAGTAAAGGTTTTGTACTAATTCAAAATCTTGATGCACATATGTGAGGAGTGTGTCCTTACATTTATAATGGACAACACCCATTGCAATAACAAAATGCGCAAGCTGCACAAATTAAATTCCAAGGTTTGCCTAGAGAAGTTGAATTCCATTGAAAGTATAGGCCTTGAGCTAGTATTTCTAGCAAAATTCTATTTCACCCAAAACCCTCCACTGAGCAAAGCAAAGTGATGGCGGGATATCCAGAGCAAGTCTTTAGTTTAGCTCTAGCTCTTAGCTGGCAGCTACCACTGTTGAGACAACTGGCCATTCTTAGGAATGTTCTTGAATCTCCTATATGTTAATTTCCTCCTTATAATTTGCTGGATTTATTGTGACAAAGAGTTAGTGTATCTGAATTAATTCTACAACCTTCTATTGTTCCTTTCCCTCCATAGATAGTATACAGTTTCTATTAGGCTAATTCTACATAATATCTTCTGCATAGAAATCTCATTCAAAGAAATCTCCTTTCCCTCCAATAGCTTGAAGCCCATTCAAAGAAATCTCATTTTTTTGTGTGGATTTTGCTTTTGGCTCCTAGATCTGACTGGGTTAGATCACTTGACATCGTACTACAGTAAATTGTGTTAAAATTGAGTCAATCGGAATATAAAATTAAACCAGTCGATTATGTCCAAATCTCTCAACACAAACCAATTATTTCATGGTTACTATAACATCACTCGGTTACTACCTTAATAAACAAGTTGAATGGGGTTAGGAGATTCCACAAGTTGGAAGTATCATTTTTTTATAGACAAGTACAAATAAATTAAATAATTAAAAAAATTAAACTTCTTTCATGTGTCATAATCATTTGTGTAGTCATAGGGGTCAAATTAGAGATGTTTAGTGGAAAACCCGTAATTTTGAAAATAAATAAATAATAATTTTTGGTCCTATAAATAGTAAAATTTGAAAATTGTTGGATTTAAAACCCTACTTTCAACCCCATTTCTCCCATTATTTCATTCCATTCTCATCCAATTCCTCTTAGAACCTGATAACAATATAAAGGGAAATAGACAAGGAAAAAAGAAATTCTCGTAAACTTAGGCATTGTTGGGAATCCTAGGAACTTGACTTAGAATTCTTGATACCTAGGAAGGGTTTTCCTCTCTCTTGCATTTACTTTGTCCATCTCATATATTTTTTTTTAGCTAAAATTTAATGTGTTTGATGGCAAAATGTTTGTTATAAATCTTGATTTAGTGTTGAATATGCTATAAATTGTGAACCTACATGCATAAAAATGATTTTAGTGTTGTGGGTTTGAAACCCTAGTTTGATTAAACCTATGATTTGTGGGTCTTGTAGTATAGTATGATCTTGTTCATAGTGTATATAACTTATTCTCTTGAAAATTATTGTGTTGCTTTGAAAATGTAAATTTTGAGATTTTGAGCCCACCACATGTTTAATAGAATGTCAAGGTTATGGGAAGGGTTTTCAAAAGGGTTTATGGATATAAAAAATAATGATTTTTGGAAAGATATACTAAATACTTATAGACATAGGGTTAATAGACGGTTGAGGCCTATTGAGTGGGTTGCTAATGTGGTTACTAGTCCTAAGGAGGATTAGTTATGGTAGTGGTTGTCGGTGATGGCCTGTGTGACGTGACAAGTTGTGCTCTACACGTCTCCTTGAAAAAGAAAAAGAATAATGAGAGCCAAGGATGCAAGACCCAAAAGGTTTTTCAATGATGGTTCATGCTTAAATCGATGTGATTGATTATATTGTCCGTATGTGAGACATGCATGGTATTTATTAAGATAGTTTGGTTTTAAATGTAATAACCTTTATATTTCAAATGATGATATGTTGGGAGATTGTCACAAATGTTCTACTTATTAAATTGTACATATACTGCATTATACAAAGCTTTTATTATTTATTCTTATGGTTTGTGAAATATTGGCTTTAAAACTTTGTACATGCTTGAGAAAAGAATTATCTTACTGGGATGTGGTTGTTCATCCCTTAATAATATTTTTAGAGACTAGCATGTATCTTGGGGTGTAGGTGATAGAATGCTTGTAGGAGCTTGGACTAGGAAGAATATCTTTTAGAATACTTTTGTATGTAGANTTTTTAGAGACTAGCATGCATCTTGGGGTGTAGGTGATAGAATGCTTGTAGGAGCTTGGACTAGGAAGAATATCTTTTAGAATACTTTTGTATGTAGAACTTACGTAGAAATGTTAGCTCACAAATGTTGTATTTGGAAAGATTGTCTTGAGATACTCGTGGTGTACACTTGATCATCCCAGAGAGGGGTTATTATTTTGGGTATTGTAATTTTGTAAATGTCATTGTTTTATCTCAAAACCATATATATTATTTTATAATTGAGACTTTTTTTTTTATGATTATCTTATCCTTGTTTGAGTTTGAAAAGATTTTCCTGCTGAGCTTTTTGCTCACCATACCATAAAATTTTTCTAGTTTTGGACTTGAGGAAGATATAACCTTAGATGAGCAGGTTGACTTTGAGATGACAGTAGATCAAGAAGTAGATCTAGACATCGAGTCTTGGAGAGTGTCTTTTTAATTTAAATTTTTGAAGTTCAGTTATTAGACAATTTTATGAATATTTCGTATTTAGTTAGTTGAAAGACTATTGCTAATAAAATTTTGGTTACAATGCATTAGGTTTTGGATAT